TTCATCCATTAAAATAGCACCGTTGGGATAACTACATTGGAATGGCTGGCATATGATTGCCTCTCACCTAGAGAAGATACCTGACTTTGGAGGTACAGTACCTCATGCATAAGCAACCTCATTGGACATCTTGCGGTAAAAAATGGATTCCTGATCTTCTACACATTGCAATGACATGCTGATCAGCTCATTATGTTAAATGGCAGCATGTCTCCCCCCCCATTCCAATCAGCAAAATGCATGACGTTTTGTTGCATCTTACTATTGCAATTAAAGATGTTTCAGTGTCATATGCTAAGCAATATCCAAGCCTTGAACTATAATCGTAGATGTTGTTATGCTAGCTACACTTTATTAGATGACTACAATATTCATATTCCCTTTGTGTGTCATACTAAGCCTAAGGCTCAAGGATTTCCGGTTGATTGTCACGTAGTATTTAATTATAAAGTCTTAGCATGTGGTAATAAATTGAGGAAGTGAAGTAATGGAAGTTGCCATTTGTGTTAATTACTAAGAGCCCACTCCCTTGTTCTATTTAGCATTTATATTTGTTTTCGTAGAGATTTCCATAGATGGCTGCCGCCTTAGGTGATGAGGATAAATTTATCCATTCAGTTGTGTCCGACTCTTGGCGATTATATGGGCCAGGTCTCTCCACATCTTCCGATCTTGCGCTACTTGTTTGAGTTTGTCTATGCTCTGGTTGATATCAGCTTTGATGGTGTCCAGCCACCATGTCCTTTGGCCATCTGGTTTCCTTTTACCGCCAATTCTTCCAAACAGAATTGCTTTCTCCATCCAATGAATTGCCCCACATGACATGGCCAAAATAAGTGAGATGCAGTTTTGTGATTTATAGCCTTAAGAAAGAGGTGCAAAAGGAACCTGGGGCACAGATCTAGGAATCCGTAATCTGGAAAGTTCCCAAATGACTAGAAGCAAGGACAAGGGCTTCAGGACAGTAAAATAAAGTCCTTGCAGGCAAATCTACTGGTTCATGCTTTGCAGAAATAGACATTGCCTTTAGGGACTGTGCCTGAGCCTTTCTGTGGGTTTCCAGGATTTGAAAGAAAACTCCATGCAAACTTGATTTTGAATTTCTCATTCTTTTATTAAATAGTAGTGAGTTTCACTTTTAGACACATGCTTTAGTCATGTGTGGCTCAGTGTGGGTTGCCAATTTTTTTACTACCGGTCCGGGCGTGCTCCTGCATGTGCAGAAGCGTCCAGGTGGGTGGATGGAGTCTCCTGCCCCCGCTACTACCAATTTGCCTGATCCGGGCTGAAGCAGGAGCCACCTACCTCTGGTGTGGTTCTTCTACCTTCTCTTGGTTACTTTCAGTGATAAGATGCAGAGAATGAAATCTCAACCTGAAATATAAAATTGTGATTGGAATTTTTTCCCTTCTACTGAAATGTGCAGCTAAAGCTTTTCTAAGGATGTACTGAATATGTTTGCAACTCATACAATTAGTGGGTGCCTACCCTTCTATGTTTCTAAGCACTGTAAATACTATTTTTTAGCATTAGGAAAGAACCTAATGCTAAACACTTCCTCTCAGACAGTCTGGAAACCAGCTTGTTTTGACTGGTAAAACCTCTTCTCTTCTATCATCTTTGACTTTCTCCAAAGTTCACCTTCTTTGTGCTCTCATCTGTTTCCGGAGGCTTCACACTTCTCAAACCTACTTGTTGAGAACAAAACAAAGCTTCATCAGTCCATGTTAATACGGTTCAGTCCTCTTTGGATTACCAGCTATCTTCATAATAAGCCAAATCAAATCTTCAATATCTATCTTTTTTAGATTCATTTTAATTGCCAGATATTATATCCACCTCCACTCCAGCTGTCCCAATTAATCCTCCTAAAGTTGTACCTGATATTTTAAGATAAGTAGAAAGGTTGTCCAAGCTTTCTCAATTCTGGGGGTGGGATTGATTGCATGGCTGTTCTTAGTTGGTGGATAGTTTAAGATTCCACCTCTGATGCCAGCCCAACGCCCTTCCGTCTGTGACAAGAACATTTTCCTGTGAGAAACTAATCTTATCAACTAGCTAGCACAAAGTGTCTGAGTTTCTGCATGTATACACAAAGAGCAGTAGGGAGCCATGATCGAAGTAAGCTGTCACAATAGAAGTATTGAATCATAGGAAAGTTCAGTCACTGATCCAGGGCCTCCATTAGTCACATATACTCCATACATATTCCCAGGGGTAAGGTCTGATTTATTCATTTATTGTATTGAAAAGCTTAGAAAAACAATTTCTTCAAAAAAAAGTTACATGACTGCTGCTAACCTACGAACCCCTGGTCTTAATCATGGGGGCAGCACAATGCTTTCTTTTAAATAACTGCATAGTTTAAGACAAACTGGTTGGCAATGGTATTCTGGCATAGAAATAAAATTCATGTAATAACAGGATTGGAAGGGATCTTGGAGGTCTTCTAGTCCAAGCAGGAGAACCTATACTGGGTGTCGGCAACGTGCAACTTCTGAACCGTATGTGGCTCTTTCGTCCCCCTGCTGTGGTTCACTGCCGGCTGGCTGGCCCCTCCCCTCCCCTCCCCGTCACTCCTCATATGGCCTGAGAAGGTAAGAGTGATGGCAAGGATGGAGAGTCGCTCCATATTCCAGAGCGGGAGGGAAGCACTCCTGTACTCCCTGCATGGGAATCATAAGGAGGGCTAATAGAAGCAAGATTATGTAGTGCTATTTGCTAAACTGGGAGAAACCCAGTTTTAAGCCCTACGAATTAACTGGGTGATTTTGGGCCAGTCATTCACTCAATGCAATTTACTTCAAAGGATTGTTATTGTAAAGATAACACGAAAGGACATTCCCGTGCTAAGTAGCTTGAACTCTTGGGAGTAAGATGGTGTATAAATAATTCAATTAAAAACATAGCCAACCTATGGCTGACACACAAATGCTACAAATCATTCAAATTAACATGACCAGAACATTTTCCTGGCTTTTACCCATAGTAGCAACAGAATCTGTGCAATAATGTATTATAAGGTTTGCTCCTGTCAAGAGAAACATAGTTGCAAAATTAAATACTGATGAATGGCTTATTATATCAAGTAAACTATCATGCGCTCTCCTATATAGGGAGTTTTGAAACCAAAACATTCCACTTTTAGCTTGCACTCGCTATGGGTTTAGAACAGGCATGTCTAACCTTTTGGCTTGCCTGAGCGGAATTGAGTGAGGAGAAATTGCCTTGGGCTGCATATAAAATATATTTTATAGTTAATGTATATAAATAACAAACTTCATTTTTAAATATTTTTATTACCATCTTGTGGGTTTGCATTACTTGCTGTCCAGAGCTGCATGCAACTCATGGGTTGGATAACCTGGTTTAGGGGAATGGCGCAGACACCCAGTGATTGTCCTAGCTAGTAAGTGAACCATAATCAGGTGATTCCCTAGATCTGTGATGGTGAATCTATGACACCAGAGGTGGGTTCCTACTGGTTTGGCCGAGTATGTAGTAACTCGGCTGGCCACACCCCCTAACTGGTTCTATCGGCTGCGCCATAGGTGCCGTCATCTTTTTTTTGCTTTTGCGCAATTTTTTACTACTGCGTATGCACGTGTAGTGCGCATCAAGCACGCACACAAAACACCTCCATGACCAAACTGGCAGTAACAGAAGCCGGAATCCACCCCTGTATGGCACGCGTGTCCGCAGTGACGTGTGGAGCAGTGTTGCCTGGCACGCGCAGCGTCACCTGTTCCTCTTCCAGACTTCATGTGCGTGCGATGATCAGCTGGCCTTTGTGTGTGCGGCAGTGCCAGAAACTGGAAGACCTGGTCTTCTGTTTTCCGGCATGAGCATGATCCTCATTGGAAGACTAGCTTGGAATTGAATTTCATTCATCTTCTGGTGCGTGCATGCCCCCCAGGGCTTCTCTTCCAGGTTGCGGCCCTGATGAGCAGGCACACATTCACCATCACTGCCCTAGATTATCTAGAAACTGGCAATGTCTAAAGCATGGATAGACTTTTCTTCATGTGTATTATATGGTCAGGCTGTCTGGAGTGATCTGAATCATTTTGTTTTGAGATAAAGCGTCAAAAATTCAATGGCCCTAAAATACAGAAAAGTGCTCAGGGATTTAATCAAAGCTTTCTCCCCTCCTGCCAATAAAAATTCTGCTATAGAGGAAAATTGTGTCAAAAATTATCTTTGTTCCATCCTGAACAAAAGATTTAACACTGATTGGGAACTGGATTTGAAGCGAAGAATCCTCATGCAATGGCACATGGGTAGATCATTAATTATAAGGCTGTGCAGAACCAAAAAGTATGGTACCATTATGGTACTAAATTCCACCCATCTCAAAATATGCTATATGAGCTGGAATAATTTTGCTTAAATTCTCTGCACTTTATCCACACAAGAACCTTTTGCCTCTCAACATCCATATAAAAACTTAACAGTATGGACAAGAGTTCACCATGTTTTGATCCAAGCAGAGGACCCTGGAGTGTTTATCCAATGGAGAAACTGCTTTACATTTCTAATACTTTTGAAAAAGAATGCTAGGTCAAATAGCCCCATGAAAGAGTGTATGAGTCTGTTTTAGTACAGCTGAGAGAACAGAAAAATAATGGAAATGATTCTGGAGAAGTGATTTCAATATGCTATTGTTATGCTAAAGAAAATAAACGTCAGGAAAGCAGCCACATCCACTTAATGTCTAAGGAATGGGCAAAACTCTCCAAAGTATTCTGGAACATTCCAAGCAAAGTTTTGTACAGGAATGGAATCCCCAAATGTGATGCAGACAAATCACAATTAAGAACTCAAATCAAAATATTAATAATCTTTATAACAATAACAATCCTAAAAAAAAAATTAAATTCAAAGTATTCTTTTTTACAAGTGCTAATTTTACTCTAGAATTTTATCAATAAAATTCAGTAAACAGTTATCCTCTCAGCTTCTCCTCCGGTGTTTGGCCTAGAAATAATATTTCAAAACCATTTTCTAGTTAGAGATTATTTTAATTACACAGATTCTCCTCTCAGTTATTCAGACAGGCTTTATGGTTTGATAACTACAAAAATACAGTTTTTAGTAAATACAGAAAAAGAAGTATCATAAAAACAAAATCTAACATTGTTTTACTAAAAACATTTCAGTCATTTACAGATGAATTAAAAATCAATTTTACAAGCTTGCTTAAAATGAAATGAATCAATTGTCAAGTATTGATTAAAAAATACTTATAAAATTCAATATTGCATTATTCCTAAAAAACTATACATAATTGTTATCAAGGCTACTTTTGAAATACATAGGGAATAGTGTAGGAGGTACTATTATTTTTTAAAAACTTTTGATTTAAGCACTGAAATGCAGACAAAAATTATTAAAAGAGATGATTGGGTATTGGAATTTTTGAGTTCTGTTATCATATTTATATAGTTTTCCTGAAATCTTTTACTGCCTATTTACATTATGATGCACTGCATCTTTAAAATAGTCATGTTTAGGCAAGAGGCCAAATGACCACAATTGTAATGTTATTATGATATAATTTGTTCTAAAGTGAAATGTGGAAGGGTAGGTTTTTTTTTTTAAAGTTTCTATAGCTCAGAAAACAAGCAAATACTAGGAAAAAGGAATAAGCAAAAAATGAAAAAAATAATGCTATGTTTTATTCAAATTTATAGTGTAATGATAATGCTATGTTTTATTCAAATTTGTAGTGTAATGGTGGTTTCACAAAATAAAGGGTGGGCGTAATTTGTTTTATGTTTATTTAATATTGGTAAGCAAATTGCCACAAGTCTTGTTCAGGCTTTTTTACTTGAACAAGCAAGATGTCCGAGTGCAGGATTTCATACAGTCAGAAATCCTAACAACAAAGTGTTGATGTACTCATAAGAGCTGCCTTGATTTGCCACTCTACATCCAAGGATCCCATCAGTGTTGATGTTCACACATCTGCTGATGTCTGTGGAACATAGGCTCTCAGAGAAACCACATTTTCAGTTGCACATCCAGACAAAACACTTAAAAGGCTTGTGTTACATTGGAGTCTGAGCCTTAAAAAAACAGGTCACTCAGATTTTAATTAAATTGTGATGTCCAAAAGTTCTTTTCATGTCCTAAGGCACTGAATGAACACAGTGAATCAAGAAACATAAGAAAACCTTATAATAAACTGAAAAATAGCATAAGGGAATATGTCAGCAACAAAGAACAAATTGTATAATCCACACTGCTTAATACTTTGACAACTTTTCCTTTCTGTTATTATAAAGCTTTTAAATCAATAGCATTGATTTAAGGAAAAACTAAACCTGTAATTCTGTTAACTGTCTGAAGATTTAACAGCCAGTGCAGATGAACACAGCATTGCTATTTCTGTAAAAATCTCTGAAAAAGAAAAAGAGTTTAACTTTTTTCATTTAACTCCGTCTGCATATATTTTTAAAAGCTGAGGAATACCCACCAGAAGTAATTCTGACTCATGTCTGTTTGTTACATGTAAACCTTCGTGCTATAAGCACATCGGAATTGCTCATTGCTTATATAGAAAGCTGACTCTCAACAGTTAATTCAATCCACGTGATAAGGAAGCTTCAAATATTAATAAATGAAGACAGCTTTAATACTGTATGTTGGGGTAATAAGAAACATTACCTTCCTTATTGAATTTATCGAAAATGCATAAGTTTTAAGGTTTCCTATAACAACTTGTTCAAAGCACTCAAATGCTTCACACTTAGTGAAAAATGTATCATTTACAATCATTTGGAAACATTTAATATCTTTTCCTAGATGAAAAATGTCATTATTGTACATACTTACAAAAATCTGTATACAAAAATATAAATCATTTTACAGTATGAAATCTCACTTCACTTGCTTTACAGGAAACCCCAAAAATTAAACAACATTGTATTACAGAAAATACTTTGTTGCTGAAATGCTTTAATCTGAGTTCCTGAACACATATATTTATACAAATCACTTATATTCCTGATTTTTAAAAATACTTTAAAAAAAGATATTCTATGGCAATGTCATACAAAGGAAATAACCATGACACCTTTCCTGCGAATTAAAAGCAACTCCACTGGAGCTTAAGCAAAGCAGTTAAAATTCTCACTACATTAGTTATTATGAAGACAATAACTTAGTTCTGCATTTTTTTCTTCCCAGAATGAACGTTCTCAAACATGTAATTGTTCAAGAGCCTCAACGTATTTTACAAGAGTTCTACCAAAATAACAGATAAATGAAGTATTTGCATTATTTATCTACCTGATTAGTCTCTTAATTTTTTGACTTCTTAACCTCTAGTATAAAACTGTTTTCATAAATTACATGCATACTTTTTACAATATCTGACAATGTAATGCAAGCAGCCAAATGCACATGTGTATTCTACATCTACATTAAGCCTCAAAAGTCAGAAAGAAAATATTAAAATCTGAAGTTAAAGCCACAATAATTAATTTGATTTTGTCACTGCAGTTGCTTTTGTGTTTGTTGCTTTAGAATCCTGACTGGGATTAATTGCTGACTGTGCCAATTTCTTCTCTTTTGAAGCAACAGGTGCCAGTGCAGGCATCACTTTAGTACTTTGTCCTTCCGAATCTAATGACTGATTAGCAGTTTTTAACCCCAGTGGTGCCAATTTGGGCATAGGCCTCCATGACATGTCCGATGCGCCAGCTTCTAAATTAGTTTTCATATAAAGAACGGGAGGTGAAACACTTCTTGTCTTTGTGGAGGATTCCATGTTTTTTCCACTTCCGTTTATTTTTAACAAGTTGGAATTTCTATCCTTGACTTCAGAACCTAGCATGATTTTTAAAGCATCAGATTGTGATGAAACCTCTCTGGCACTTCTATTGCCAACAGGAAAGTCGTCATCATCCAAGTGAAGTAGGAGGGGAGTTATGGAATCACCATTGTCTTGAATCATAGAAAGATCTTTAAAATTCCCACCCACTGTACCAAATTGGAAGGCAGAGCTACTTGCTGAATTTGATTCCTGGCGACTTTCTGTATCTGCTAGAGAAAAGCCAGAACTTAGGGGGTTGGAGAGTTCTGGTATGTCTGAAATATCATCATTCAGTTGCTGATTGAGGAATGCAATTTCATTCAGAAGTGAGGTCAGAGTTTCATCTGTATCATCATCCTCTTCTAAATCTACTGAACTGCTTGTATCCATTGTTGGTTCATGAATTATGGAAGCAACTTGCTGCGGTTCCATTTTTGACCCAGAGACCTTGGCTTTGTTAATCTGTAGCTTTTGCAATGAGGGATTCTTCGACTTTTGACAATCTTCTCCTCCTCCATCTACCTCTTTGGCCCATGTCTGGCTTCCAGTTAATTCTTCAAAGCAGAGCTTTGTTCCAAATGTTTCTGGGGAGCCCTTTAAACTGGAGACGTTTACTATTTGTGGAAAACTATATTTTTTCTCAAGCAGATCTTGTGTTGTTCTAGTAGCATTTCTCTCTTTTTCAGAACCTCCTTTGTTTTCTTTGCATTTATGATTGGATGTTTCCTGAGATAAAACTTGCATGGAAAGCTCAGATGCTTTAGAATCAGTATTTAGCATTGTATAAGGCCCTTTATTTGCATCCAGATTTAAATTCGTTTCTTCTTCAGTAGCTAGTGATGTCACATTCACGATTCTTGGCATCAAGAATGAATCTTCATTTTCTGCTAAGGCCAAACAAAACAAAATAAATCAATCAGATTATTGATTAAAGGATCCCAATCTTATTCCAATCATTCTGCTTGGAAAAGTAAACTGTTTTACTTGCAAAAATTGGGGTTACTGATCTTATGCATGCTAACTGTTGAGAATGAAAAGTAACTTCCTTCTTTGAAGAAATGTTGACCTGGCCTTGGGAATGGAGAAATAAGAAGTCAGCCATTAAGAAAAGATTGCTCAGTCCCAAGAAAGCGAAAAGAAAGATAATCAAACAATCCCACCTTGATTGTCTTTGGTATAAGAAGCAGCAGAAAGAAACTCTCATAAAATTGCAAGAGTCTGTTCTTCTCCTATACAATAATAAAGAGCATTCTTTGGATCCCTGCTTCACCTATTCATCCCATATTATATTAAAGGTGGAAAAAATTCTGAAGTGATTTATTTTGGTCTGATATTTTTACATCTCAAAAACCTGGCATTTTAAAAGGGGTGCGTAGACTTTATATTTTGTGTGTTGTCAGGGGGGGGGGGGAGATTGTGCATGTATAAAACAAAACAAAGTGGTAAATAGCAGGTGATGAGCTATCACAAAGATACAAATCCTGGGTAATATTGGGTCCCAATTTGGTTTACCAGCAATAACAGCAGCATTTCCAAAGAGATTAGTGACTGCCATGATGGCACTTGCAGTTCTTAGGGCTAGCAAGTTCAACTAGTTTGTGTTCACAATGATAGAAACATTCTGCAAGCCCTCCATAGTTATATGAATCAACCAATTCAAAGCACCCATCGGAGGGCTGTATTGACTCACAGAATGCACGTAATAAAAGGCTGATGCAGAGAAGCAGTGGCTTTTTTTTCTTCCTTGCTTTTTCAAATGCTGTGAGTTCAGATTTCTGAGGTTATTGGTAATCATGTGGACTACCTGGCCTAAGAGGAACAATTTGAAGAACAGAAGTGTATTCCAGAGAATAACGTCCATGAAGTAATAAAAAATAAGGTGCATCAAAAGTGCCCAGAAAATGCCGAAACTGGTCCCCAGGCTTGGAAGATCCATGTGATGAAAGATCAAACAAACACTGGAAAAACAGAAGAGGAAAAAGGACTGTTGCAAAAGAGGGACCTCAGCCAAGGGAAGGGAGAAGCGTGAAATTCACAGCTACTCTATCTTAATTATGCTAGGTATAAGTTGAACAAGACAATTGCTTTGACAGCCTTTCAAGTTTCTATTATATTACCCTATTAGCAAAAGGAGAGAGATTTCCTGAGTTTGCTAATCTCCTAGAGAAAATACAAATTTTAGAGACAGGTGCACACCAGTGGTGGGTTGTAGGCGGTACGCCCTGTTATGGGTGTACCGAAGCCTGCCCGGAGCACCTGATGCAGTTCTGGTACAGTGCTCTGGAGGGCCCACCCACCTGCCCAAGTTCCTTATTTTTAAATCTTTGGTGCTTCTGTGCACATGCACTGTGCGTACAGCGCCTGCGCGATGCTCCGCTGAGCAGCTGGAGCATCGCAGAACCTCATGGAGGCAGTAAAACGCATGCGCATGCTGCACGCGTCCATGTGGATGACGCCGGGCCTGTTCCAACTTTACTGGTTGGAACGGGATCTGGAACCCACCACTGGTGCACACTTTCATTTTGGATGAAAGAGACCTTTGCCATCAAAAGTCTGCAAATCCTTAGTCCAAACCCAACTCTTGAACTGCAGTTATGCATTGTAGCACAGTCTGTCATCATAGTTAGCAGCAGAACAACTAGTAGCGATCAACTGTTTCATAATATGGACAGCCTTAGCATTGAAAAGTAATGATCTCTCACTTAAATGTCAGAAAAATAAATCAAGGAGGAAGCTTTTGTCCAAAGAAAATACTGATATTTTGCTAGGCTGGTTTGAAAATACCTATTTCAAAGGGAAAGAATAAAGTTTTAGCTGTCATTCTTTTCCACAGGAGCCAAATATAAATACTGATAACTGTGAGGTTAATCAGATGTAGCCATGTGGATTGAAACATTGACCCTAAAAGACAGAATACCTATCCTATACTTGAGTATGCACTTAAATTTGACTTATTAATATAGAATGAAGCAAAATATTTTACAAATGAATATATTTAAGGATATTTTTGAACAATGAACCCAGAAGTCAATTTTAAGAGTGTCTGCCCCTATAAGCTAGACTGCATTTAAACAACATTATGGAAGAAGAACAAGTCTTACCTGAACAGATTGAGACAGATATGAAAGTGGATTTAAAAATAACAAGCTACAAGAATGATACAGGTAAAGATGCTGCACTGGATATACAATCTCCCTCTCCCTCCCACAAAAACAAAACAAAAAACAAAAATGCTGGATTTACAAAAGAGGCTTGTTAAAACTTTGAGAAGAGCCGTGGTGGCACAGTGGTTAGAATGCAATACTGCAGACTACTTCTGCTGACTGCCGGCTGCCAGCAATTTGGCAGTTCGAATCTCACCAGGCTTAAGGCTGACTCAGCCTTCTATTCTTATGAGGTCAGTAAAGTGAAGATCCAGATTGTTGAGGCCAAATGCTAGCTCTGTAAACTGCTTAGAGAGGGCTATAAAGCACCATGAAGCGGTATATAAGTCTAAGTGCTATTATTATTGAAGAATTCTGTGAGAAGGACAAAGAAAACAAAAAGAAATCAAATTCTAGGACTATTGATGGAACTAAAATCAAGATTGTTAAAAGAAAAAGGAAGAAATATAAAGTTGGTTTATTTGATTAAGGTTAAATAATTTGTTGTTATCTCTGGTAACTCTTAATGGAATTTTGCTGGTCAAGATTGAAATGACAAAGCTTTAAGGATTTATTTATAAGGAAGAATTAGAATATTGTTGTATTTTAAGATGTGATAAAGTCTAAAATTGTTTATATTATGGTGAAGGGGGAATAATTTCTTCATATATTTCTTTTGTTTTACTGTATCCTTACTTTTTGTCTTTTCTCCTTTCTTTCTTTCCATTTTTTTTATCTCTGCATGGGAACTACCTATAGATGAGACAAGTGATAAAAGTTTCCACTTTGGGGACATGGACAATTTAGTAAGCTTCATGCCAGAAGCAAGGCTAGGTTCAACTTAATTTTTTCAGTTGTTTTCTCATCTTACCTGACTGCTCTTTCTCATCATTGCCCTCCATTTCTGATTTAACTTTGCCTTCTAGTAGTGTGGTAGGCAGGGCAGCAACCTGTCTTGGCACCAATGAGCTTCTGAATGCCAGAACCTGGCCATTTGTAGTTACTAAAAGGTTGGCATTGGTTAATGTTATAGAGGGAGGGAGGTCTCCTGTAAAAAGCAATAATAAAGAAATTTTGAGATAAGTACATAAATAACAAGGAATATTATTTATCTTGGCATTCCTTTTACATTTATCCCCATAAACTACAACTGTTTTTCTGTAACACATTTCAGATAACACTGAAATTTTTAAACAAGAAAAAAAAAAAAAAAACACCCAAAGAAATTGTTAAATCAACTCTGCAGTACCTCTATAGCAGTGGTCTCCAACCTTGGCCACTTTAAGACCTGTGGACTTCAATTTCCAGAGTTCCTCAGCCAGCTTTGCTGCAGGTTGGAGACCACTACTCTATAGTATTTCATACACTACAGTGGCTGTTGTGTTAATTTATTACCTTACTATGCTGATAAATTACAGGCATCCTTGGTTTACGACAATAATTGGGACTGGAATTACAATCGCTAAGTAACAGTCATAAGGTGTAATGTCCCTTGATTATGCTACCTAGTTCGTTTCCAGCATTAAGGGATGACTTCACATGATTGCAATTTCCAATTTCCTGCTGGCTTCCCATTGACTTTGCCTGTTCAGCAATGAATGTCAGGATTTTGTGTAGACCAATTATTCCTGTGTTTCTTTAGCCTACCTGTGACATTTCCTTTCTTGGAAAGTATCAATGGTTTTGTACGTTGATTGGATAAGACCATTGGCTTCACTTCTCCAAGGACAGAAGTAGGATCTTTTTCCACTGAAGGACTAGCAGTCTGTGTAGTTTCAATCATCTTCGTAGGATCTGTTTGTTCTTTCTGCTTCCCTTTTTGAGCCGCTACTGCTTTCTGTTTGGCATAAATATATTCTAACTTCTTCAAGACCACTTCTTGTGTCTTTCCTAGAGATGAAAGCAGTAGTCAGGTTTCTCTTTCATAACAAACATGCTTACAAATGTCTAAACTTCCAAGAGAAATTATATGCTAGCCCAAATGCAATTGTTTTTAGTCTTTCTTTCTCCATCATAAATATGCAAGGGCTCTATATTCTTGGGGACTCCATGGAGTAAATTATAATTCCTTATTAATTTTATTTTTAATCCTGTCTTTTTATATATAACTCAAGGGTGTGAACATACCTATTGTTCCTGTCTCCTACTTTCCCCACAACAACCCTGTGAGTGACCTCGACTGAGAGAGAGTAACTGGTCCAAATTGGCTTTCATACCTAAGGCATGCTCAGAACTCATAGTCTCCTGGTTTCTAGCATCTTAACAAATAAACCAAACTGGCCCCCAGTTGCATAATATTACTGCATTAGACAGGTAATCTTCAACTTACAACCATTTAGTGGTTACAAACATTTAGTGACAAACATTCAGTGACCCTTCGAAGTTGCAACATTGCAAGAAATGACTTATGACCGTTTTTCACACTTATGACCATTGTAGTATCCCCAAGGTCACATGATCAAAATTTGGATGCTTTGCAACTGGCATGTATTTAAGACAATTGCAGTGTTGCAGGGTCATGTGATCACTTTTTGTGACCTTCTAATAAGCAAAGTCAACGGAGAAGGCAGATTCACTTAACAACCGTGTTATTAATTTAATATCTGCAGAGATTCACTTAACAAGAGTGGTAAGAAAAGTTGTAAAATGGGGCAAAATTCAATTAACAACTGCCTTGTTTAGTAACAGGAATGTTAGGCTCAAATTGTGGTTGTAAGTCAAGGACTTCCTGCATGGAAAAAGCATTTAATTATGTTTTATGGTCCTAGCATGAGTTCATAATTTCTTGAAGGTTTTCCTACTCCCCATCTGTGGCAGCTTCCAGCTTCTATTTTAGGACCATTCACATATTTTACAACTATACTTCATTAGTAGCACGTAACTTTCTTTGCCCACCACTTCAAACTATTCCAGTGATTTACAATCCTAAGAGACAGTTCAGATTTTATTCTGCTCATTCTCTCTGACATCTCACCTGAAAGTGCAGATACTTTACGAACCAAGGTATCCTGCGTGTGCAACAGTAAGTTCTTTTGTCCTGTGAGTTTGTCTGCTTGATCTGTCAGACCCTGGATCTCTTCCAAGGCCTGAAAAACAAACTCTTTTTAGATTCCAGAAGAATATATCTGAACAGAAATAGCTTCTCATATTCATATCAGTAAATTATTTGAAACTATATTGAAAGGAATTAAAATTAAATAAAATATGTTCCAAGTCATATGCCTGCACAAAGAAGGGAAATTATACAGATTTTGTTTTAGCCAAAAATACAACGAGAGGAAACAACCGATCAGTTAGACAAAATCTCCCATTTTAGTTCATGAGTCATATAACAGAGTAACGGAATTGGAAGAGACCTTGGAGGCCTTCTAATCCAACTCCTGATCAGCAAGAAACCCTATACCATTTTAGTCAAATGGTTGTCCAATCTCTTTTTAAAAACTTCCTGTGTTGAAGCACCCACAGCTTCTGGAAGCAAGTCATTCTACTGATTAATTGTTCTGTCAGGAAATTTCTCCTTAGTTCTAGGTTGGTTCTTTCCTTGATCAGTTTAGTTTCCACCCATTGCTTCTTGTCCTGCCCTCAGATGTTTTGGAGAATAGGTTGACTCCGACTTCTTTGTGACAGCCTCTTAAATATTGTAACTCTGCTATCATGTCACCCTAGTCCTTCTTTTCATTAAACTAGATATTAGGCATTTCAAGATATTTTCAAGGAAGTTTTTTTGGGGGGGGGGCAATGATACAGGCTCTCATGGCTTTTTTCTAGGACATTTTCCAGCTCAAACATGATCAACACATTTCTTTGTTTTGATCCAGCGATGGTTTTTTGTTTGGCTCTGGAGGACTTTTGCAGAAAAGTTTTTTTTTGGGGGGGGGGGGCAGAAAAAAATCCAGATAACTAAAAAGTATTATTTTTAAAAAGTAACAGTGGAATTAGAAACAGGTGTGGCATTGCTTAGCTTCCAATCTCCAATAATCTTACTGAGGTTGAGTCAATCTAGACTGATCTCAAAATATTACGTGTAACTGAATCCTAGTTAGTACTTGGATGGCTCTCCAACAAGGAATACCAGTACTGCAAACAAGATTGGGAAATTAAAAAAAAAACACATTGGAAGAAGACTGTTTCCATAAAAGCTAGAGATATATCCAAAAAGTAGGAATAAGCCTAGCTTGAAAATGGCTTGAAATAAACTATTATTTCACTTGAGTTGGGTAGCCAATACATTTATGTAAATAAATAAGAAAACAAGCTTGCATAGTATTAAATAAGTCTATTACTAATGTTAAGCAAGATTTTTCATCTCTACTGTATTTAAAATAAATTCTGTCCAGTATTTTTCTTTGATATGGAAATATGAATATAAAACACTAACTTGTTTTAAAATGAAGCATTTGGAAACCTTTGGAAAAGCCTGAAGTCCTAATGTTGCTTTCAATTTTTCAAAGAGTCCTCTCATTTCTTTTCGACGTCGACGTTCGTTTGCTGTATGTGTTTGCCGATAGTTAGCAAAGGACTGCTCCTCATTCTTTAGCTTTTTGTTGAGAAACTCAGATTGCTATGAAAAGACAAATCTGCTCTCATGAACAGTTTAAAATACAACATAGTAAAACTGTGATTCTTATAATCAAACAATGCATGGTAGAAATGCACCTTGCATCAATCAGGCTTAAGTATTTTTTTCAGGATCATAAAAATTTGGGTTATCATAAAGTGGCAACTGACTGGAAATAAGACTTATTCCTGAAGACCCTCATGGGTGTGTGTGGAGATCAAGGCCTTAAGCAAACGCTTACAGTTTCTTTAGAGTCCTTGTGGGCTAGATGGAAAACCTCCATGAGCTGGGCTGGGCCAAGCTGGGCCTGTTACTGGAGATTGCCAATGTCTGTTTTGTAACAAACAGCAGAGAACCATCTCTAAATTTCCTCACAGCTTTCTGTTATGTTGCTTAAAGCACATATAAGCATATATAAGTAGACTTCAACTTTTGACCAGTTCCTTAGTGACCATTCAAAATTACCATGGACTATGCAAAACAGATTTACAATCTTCCAAAATCCATACCTTGCAGTCACATGACTGCATTCTGGGTACTCGGCAACCAACCCATATTTATGGCTGTTTGTGACATGATCATGTGACCTTAATTTATGTTTTTGCTAGATACCAGGATTTACTTCTAGTTTTTGTCTAAAACTGCTCTGTAACAAACAAGGGGTCTATTTAACAACTGCAGTGTTTGCTTAACAACCCACCACAAAAAAGGGTTTTATAATCTCGCATCGTCACATGCTGACAAATTTACATCCATCATGACTTACAACTGAAATTGCAGGGTCAGTTATAGTCATAAATCAAGGACTACTTTTATTCAGCCTTCCCTTACATTTAGGAAGAAAAAAATTGCTGATGTTATATTCCCACATGATTATCAGCAGAAAAATATACACAGATATTGACAAAACACCATGGAAAGTAACTTAGCATGATACAAGTTAGTTAACTGCTAGTATCAGTTTATTCTACCTTTAGAAATAGCTAAGAATACATTAGTAAATCTTTACAATGAGAATATTCTTTACTAATTAAACCCAGAAGAATGAACATGACTCTACCTTATGTCGCTTGGTAGTCTTATTAGAATGGTTATGAACCAAGTGCCTGATAGAGAAAATAAACAAGTTTAGTTCCTGGGTTTTTATTCTGGCATTGCCTGAAACTATCCGAAGAATTAAAATATAAAACATAAAATAGAAAATAAACCTTGAAAATATAATAAGCCCAATCAGTTTAAAAATGCCAAAAGCAGTTTATCCCATCACAAAAATAAGCCTGAGACAGAATAAAAGACTGGAAGAACAGAGGAAAATGAGCATGGCTGAGTTATTCTCTACTGAAGTTATATTCTTCAGGATCAGCTTTCAGAAGTAAGAGCACTCTTGTGATGGTTCTGCTCCTAGAATCAAAAAATGGTGATGAGTGCCTTCTGTTCTACTCCCTGATAACAAAAGTGTTTCCCTGCTGTTCTAGACTATTTCCCATGCTTTAGATCAACTACTTTAAAGTGCTGACAGAAGTTATTTGATGTTACAGTATCATCATTACCCTGATTATACATATTTTTACATCCTTTCACCTAATAAATAATCCAGATATGACTTTAAAAAAAATTGCAAAAACCTGCCCATTTCAGTTGTGATCAATTCTCACTTGAGATCAACTGAACATTTCTGATAGAAGAGGTGTGCACTTTGGTGTTTTTGAATCAATTATTTTATTGGGGATTAAGAGCATCTTATTTCAGTTTTCAATGTGCTTCTTGCTGTTCTTTCTGGACAATAACCTAATATCTATTCTCTGGTAATCACCAGGATAGATTACTATATTCCTTTTCAAAAATTTCAGCTAGTCCAAAATAAAAAAAATACTTAACTATTAGCTGATACTGGTCAGCGTAATCAGATGATGCCGGTGATTCAGCAACTGCCCTGGAAAACAATCTGTTTCCAAACTCAGTTTGAAGTGTTGGAGTATAACTTTAAAAGCCCTAAATTATTTGGAGGCAAAGTTTCTAAAATAAATTTTCTCACGTATGAAACTACTTAGATCCTCGTTTTAAAAAAGCCTCCACTAAATGCATTCCCCTAAAATAATTTAGTTAGGCAGACACTCTTCATTTGATATCCTGTTAATTGATTTCCTAAGGCGGTTTTCCTTTTACTATATTGTTTGTTTCACCTCGAGGGAAAAAACATCCTGTATTTTAAGATTTAGATCCAGCTTTGATGTTCTTAAGATTTTTAAATATTTTACATTCTGTTTCCTTCACTTAGTGTTGCCTTTTGTTTAGGTTTATTCTTTTTATGTTACTTCCAGAAATGTTATCTTTTTGTTCCATGTGGAAATTAAATATACATTTTACCATATGCATTAAATAAGCTTCAAGCCTTTGTTTTAAATGGAAATGTATCTTTAAAACAACATGGAAGATTTCTCCCTCTACTATATTAATGCTCATTCAGATAAGTAAAATTGTATTTAGACAAACAATCACACAACAAAAGTCTGAGTGTTTTCAACTATAAAATTACAAATAAAATTGCTCAATTTGGGTTTTTAAAGGAATATGCTTACAACTGTTTGGACAACAAAGCATGAGCAGCTGTAGCCTTCAAGCGAGCAAGATTAACTTTTTCTGAAAATTCCTCCACAGTCTCAATGTCCACATTCTCCTCAACTTCACTGGATTCACTTCCATTCTGTGACAAAGTAATGAAACACAGTAAATTCTATTGTCCCAGTCATGTAAACTATTTAATATCAATTAATATAAGAATCTACACTTTAAATAATTAATACAATTCTCAACAATTCTCTAATGTATACCGAGCTGTTATGGCTATGTCATTTTAAAAAAATAGCTATAACTATGGTATCAAAAGTCAAGATTTAAATAACTGAAGATCTAACAAGAGTCATTCACAGTACCAACACAACTATCATAGGATTTACATTGCTGTATCTTAGTGTTAGGCAGTCTATCAGAGTACTGGTGGAATAATCATAGCCAAGAGATTACAATGTTGAAAAAACAATTTCAAAGTAAGAAAAGTTAATGATGGATGTAGACTAATGAAGTTCAAAATACTTAAGCTAATTAGAAACAGTAAGTCAGTGAAATAGATTGATGGTTTTATATTGATTTATTTAAGTTGGATTTCCTATATACTAAAGCACCCATAAAAGCAATTAAAATATAACAAAAAGCTTTAATTTCTCCAGTTTTATGAGATGGGGGTGGGGCTGAACTTTACAGGGGTTGTTTCACAGTGGTATTAACTATCCTAATTACACAGTTTGAAATTACACTAGTCCCATCATACTGGCTTTCCTTCACTTTTCAAAAACTGAATTATTTTGGAAGAACTGAGCCCATGGAGGATGAAATGCCATCAGTTATTACTGTTGTTACTACTTTTATTTTATTTTAATTACAAAATAGGTATTTTACTGTATTTATTATAAGAACCATGGTGGCACAGTGGTTAGATTGCCGTATTGCCGGCTACTTCTACTGGCTGCCAGAAGTTTAATCCTGACTGGCTCAAGGTTGTCTCAGCCTTCCATCCTTCCGAGGTCGGCAAAATGAGGACCCAGATGGTTGGGGGCAATATGCTGACTTTGTAAACCATTTAGAAAGGACTGTAAAGCACTATGAAGCAGTATATAAGTCTAATATTGATATATTATTGATTGCCTTGTATCTACTATTTTTAATGAAAGTTTAGCCTATCTGCCATCCAACTTTCTTTTCATTTCAGGTATATCATCTTTCCTTTATTTTTTTCTATGTTAACACTGAAATCTTTTGGGTCACTGGATGTCACCCGAGTTCATCTTTCATGAAAATTAAGTGGTCAGTTTCAGTCATTCCATTAGTGGATTAGAAAAATCACAAACAAAGAACTGGTTATTCACATCTTTTTGTAGTTTTTTTCTGTGGCACTTGTGAATTTTTGCAAATCAGCTCCTCGCTCATTTGGTCTTATTCCTTCAGCACTTGTGTTCTCAGAAATGTAATGGTTCAGTGAGAGCTGAATCTTGATGCATGATATGTATAATGTGGTATTCCTTACAGATATTCTGTAAGATCTTGAACAGGGCTCCATACAGAAATGAATTTCAGAGGCCACAAAGCAGGAGTGAAATTCAGCAGGTTCTGACAGGTTCTGGAGAACCGGTAGCAGAAATTTTGAGTAGTTCGGAGAACCGGCAAATACCACCTCTGGCTCTAGTATTATGTTATGTCATATTTTGCTTCTCTAGGGACTATTCAGTGCCTATAGATAGATTTCTAATAAAAACCAATCAATAGTCTGCTCATCCTTGTTATGAAAAGCTCTTAAGGAAGCCTCTCACATTTTAGCTACCTGTTTGGCCACTGGCTGCAAGACAATTCATTGATTCTTTGGTGGATATTTCTCTGATTACCTGTCCCTATTTCTTTGGCCTCACCTACTGGCAATCAAGATCAGATCCCCCAAAGGCTCCTCCTTGCTTGGTAGAGAAGCTATTTCAGGAAAGCAACTGTTCCAAGAGCTGTCATGATGGTGGAAAGCACTTGGGGCAAAAGTAAAACATCCACAATCTTTCCAGGGATCCTTCAAAGTCAAGAGTGAAAGGGTTTTAATCCTGCCAATTTGAGATAGCATTCAAATAGTAGCTGTAGGCATTTCAGCAGGACATGTACGTACCAGGGGATGGTGGTGAAATTAACAATAACTTTCAGAAAGATATTAATTAAGGTTGACTGCATTTCCATCTCATTCATACATAAGCAACTATCTATTCATACATAAGCAACTATCTATAAGCAACTATCTAGGAGCCAAGGTGGCGCAGTGGTTAAATGCAGCACTGCAGGCTACTGCTAGATCAGCAGGTCAGCGGTTCAAATCTCACCGGCTCAGGGTTGACTCAGCCTTCCATCCTTCCGAGGTGGGTAAAATGAGGACCCAGATTGTTGGGGGCAATATGCTGACTCTCTGTAAACCGCTTAGAGGAGGCCTGTAAGGCCTATGAAGCGGTATATAAGTCCACTGCTATTGCTATTTTGGTGTGCTAAATCTTACCTTGAAGCTGATTCTAATTATATGTACAAAACTAAACTACAATGAGAAAGACAATGGAAATACTGTAATATCTAAATCCTAATTTTGTGTTTTGAGATATATATAACCTTTTCAAATATCAAGCATCATTTTGATTGCTCTGTTAATTAGACAATTATAAGATTGGTTTTATATTTTTGAAATTTGTGAATATTTTTTAATTTAAAAACTTAGATGCTTACCAATACTTCAATGTTTACTGCATCCTCACTTTGATATCCAAATGCCTCATCAACCCTCTCATTTGCAGATTCTTCTGCTTTTTCATCTTTTTCTGTATTATCCCGGGTAATATCAATAAGAGGCGAGGATTTTTTTGGGTGACTCTTGATTTTCCATGTACTTTGTTTTGAGGTTTTTCTTAATTTCTCGGCAAGTTCATCAGCATCCACGTTGATTTTATTTTGTACAACTAAGGATGGTCTGGATATTTTGCCACAAGTTTTACTAATTTTGTGCTCATCATTCCTATTTTGATTATCTTCTTGTGTATCTTTAATACTTTTTTCATAACTAGAAAAGTTACGGCTACTTTGAAAATCAGTATCTTTTTCATATAAATCTTTGTGAGTACTATCCAGGTATTCATTTCTTAAGATGTTATTTTTATTTTTTCCAATATTGATCTTGACCTTCTCACTTACTTTTTCTTTATCCTTTTCTTTAGCCACAAAGTCACACTTTTCCTTCATGTTCTGTCTTGGCAATTCTGGATCTTCATTTTTCCATGGATTTAGAGATGGTTTAGACTTTGTTTGCAGCTCTTCAGTATTAATTAGGGTTTTGGGGGACAGAGCTGGTTTCCCTGGTTTCCCCCAGGATTGTTCAGTAATCAATTCTGTTTTTGTATCTAATGGTTTTTGTTCAGCTCTTTTTGATTCAGTAATTGGATTTTGTGTTGACCTTTCTTGTAATACATCATGGGCAAGAACTGCAACTTCATTACATTTTTCATCAGGATATGAAATTTTATCTAGGGGGTGTTCATCATCTTTGTCTTGATTTTTTTTCTTAATCAGTGCTTCACCTTCTTCACATTTTTGCTTCTCGCTGGTATAGGAGTGGTCTGATTGTATATTAGCCTGTAACATGTGAGAAAAACTTGGTAACTTCAACATTTCAGCATCCTTTTCAATTATTTCTGATGTATTCCTGTTACATGTTATTTCTTCGGAATGCAAGTCTGGATTATGAAGTGGTAGTTTGTTTTCTTTTAATTTACTAATTTCTGAGTCAGTAATTTCTGCTGTTTGTGAACATACTGAATCTTCTTCTAACTTATTGGCACTGAGCTCATTTTTCTTATGTGAAATTTTAATCTCAAGAGATGCAGCTTTCTTTGCAATGGAACTTGAATCATTCTTCTGCCCTGGAAACTGAAGTAAAGCAAAACTGCCTGACTGTAGAGATATTAGATTATTTATATTGCTTGGTAGCCCACTGGCATTACACTTTATTTTAAACTGAGAATCTGTTTGATCGGAATTGCTTTTTACTCCAGAAGGAGAAATTCTCAGAGTCAAAGTACCAACTGGGGACACAGAACCTGAAGAATTAACAGGTGTTACTTGAGTTACTGTAGCACAATGCACAGCTGTAGTTCTAATGTCTTGTAATGTCCAATTTGTGACAGGGGATTCCGAATCAGCAGAAGTGTCCTCAATGATAGAAGACATAATAGAAGGAGGCACGGGCAACGAAGAATTAGTACTGTTAGGTGACATTGTGAATATTGAAGGGGACTTATTGGTAGGTGAAACAGGCGTAGAATAGGGTAGGGATGATGAAATTGCAGCTCTAGAAGGTACAAGTGTAGTAGAAGAGGTTGTGGGCAACAAAGGAACATCAGTAGAAGAGGTCATGGACAAAAGTGAAGATGTTTCAGCAGAGGGGGATAAAGATAAAGCATTAGAGGACATGGACAGTACTAAAGAGGACTCGGGGGATGGAGTTTGTGATAATAGTGCAGTGGTTGTGCTTGATGTCCCAGATAAAACAGAAACGTTCTCTGCAGTTGAGAATTCAGGCAAAACTGAAGGAGATGTAGACAGAATTGAAGTTGTAGTAGTGGAGGTCACCGATGGAACAACAGAAGCTTGACATGCAGCTATTTCAGGAAGCTTAGAAGGGCCAGGAAGTCGGATTCCTACCATAGAGCCTATAATTAAAAAAATATATATATTATTTCTTGCTAAATACTTAATCCACCCTCTAACGTAAGCATTGTTTTTAATGCAATATCAACTCCAAGGTATAAATGAACAAATCCTGATCAGATATCTTCCCAGAACTTTTTTTAGATGGTCATTTTACATTCAAACAAACAGGTGTTGTACTTCTACAGGTTACTGTTTGGAATGGTCCTTCCTGAGCTGCTTTTTGCAGAAAGTGAAGTCAATTTAACTGACTATTCTCAATGTAGTGCCTCTTGTTTTTACTTCAATTCCTTAACAGCAATAGCACTTAGACTTATATACTGCTTTATAGTGCTTTACAGCCATCTCTAAGCGGTTTACAGAGTCAGCATATTGCCCCCAACAATCTGAGTCCTCATTTTACCCACCTCGGAAGGCTGGAAGGCTGAGTCAACCTTGAGCCTAGTGAGATTTGAACTGCCAAATTGCTGGCAGCCAGCAGTCAGCAGAAGTAACCTGCACTACTGCACTCTAAACACTGTGCCACAGTGGCTCATAAACCAGAGATTCTCAAACTTTCTCAGTTCATGGCACCCTTAATGTCTCAGTATTGTTTTTTCATGACATCCTTAGATCAAATTTGTGAGCTTATTTAATTTTTCATTCATTCTGTGGATATTTTTATTGTTTTAATTTTTCAATTGTTTTTTTTTAATTTTAGAATTGTATGCTGCCCAGAATCACTCAGTTGAGTTGTGTGGCTATAAAAATTGAATAAATAAAATAAACTAACTTAAATTAGTAATTTGGAAGTGTTTGAAAGATTTCCAGTATTGGAAATCTTGCATGACACCCTTGCGCACAGTTTGGGAACCATGGCCTTAAATTACAGCAGATATCCTTAATGGTAGGCAAAATTACAAGGGATAAAATTCATTTCAAACAAAATTGGACAGAACTGCCTAGTTACAAAACATACCTCTTAAGAACTTGCATTCAAGCTATAATGCTACAAAAACCTAGGTAACTATATTAGAGACTTCTAAACTGTTATATTTTTGTGGCTTTCAGCTATTAACCAAAATAGAAGCATTCACAATATAATAATTTTGATAAAAATAATGAAATCTTTAAAAACATAACCAAGAGAGAATCTATTAAGTAATTAACACTTTGATAGTAACACTGTTAAGTAATTAATATAAATTAAACGTGCTCTTTTGAAAAAGACAGCAGACACAGCTCAAACAGAAGAACCACCAACTTATTGTACTTTTGGGAGTGTAAGACGCCCCTCCCCTCCTAAAAGTGGGTGAAAATGTAGGTGCATCTTATAAATTGAATACGGGTGTTTTTTGCCTCCCAAACCCTCCACATGCCACATTTTCACCCTCCCCCGTCCTCAGAAGCACTCTGCAGTGCTCTGCACATCCCATTTTTGCTAAAAACGGGGCTGTTTGGGGGCTCCCAAGCCTTCAGCGCATAGCGTTTTTTCCCTTCCCAGCCCCTGTGTTAACTCGTAAAGCATTTCCATATCTGTTATCAAGCTAGAAAGCCAATGTATAGAAGTGTCTAAAGGAATGGAAGAAAGACCATATTCCATTAATGGGAAGTAATGATACAAGTCAAGGGGAAAAACAGATATTCAACTACAAGACTATATATTGGAAATATTCTTTTGGATTCATTGGGAGAAAGCAACCTTCTAGATGTTAATGACACAATTATTCTTCTGGGGAAGATGTATCTATCACTTACTCTCATAACTTTAAAATGGTTCACACTATTACTGAATTCTTCCAGGATGATTTTGACTACTTAATCTTCCAAAATATCATTTCAAATCTCATGACCCCTGGACACTGTACTGAACTTTCTTTCTTTTTTCTATATTAACATGTTATTACTTTTGCACTAATACAACTTACATTAAAGGAGTGTATTTACTTCTAGTAATAAGTACTGAATGGGAGAAAACATTCCCAGAAAACCAGGAATATATTAATCAAAACTAAATTTTCCAATCTAAATGGTGGACATAATCTAGCAAATCCTGAGAAAAATAAAATTTGCGAACACAGCAGGAGCATATGTTCCCTTTCAGATGAGTTTTTTTAAAAAGAAGGGGAATAGCTCCCTTTTGCTCTGGGTTTTGTTTTGTTTTTTTGGCTCCCATTACAATTGCTCCCCAATTTGACTCCTGCCTTTAAGAGCGGTTCCCTAATTTAGAGAAGGGTTGACACAACATTAAGAATTGTGGAGAAATGATTTAGGAATTGAAACTGAAGAACTCCAGGAGGGCCAATCCAACCAATTTCCTACACACACACAGAGTACATAAGCACTTATTCACTAGAATTTTATTATTTTAATATACCGTATTTTCACGACTATAAGCCGCACTGAAAATCCTAAAATTTGATAAAAAACCGGCAGTGCGGCTTATAG